TAGGTTGCAATCTTGCGTTATATTTTCCATTGTTTTCGACGCGGAATGGTCGCCTTTCCAGGTCGGTCGATTCACTGACAAACCGAGCCGGTTCCGCGCGGTAGACGCGACAACTGTAGCAACAAATACACGCGTTGTTCGTTTTTCTCTCAAAAGGCGACGTTTGCACAACTTGGCTCGACTCGGCCGAGCCCAATAGCAAAGTCGTTCGCGGCGGAAACCGCGGCGGGGCCGCTTCAGAGCGCGGCGCGGCAGACAACGTGGCGACGGGAATCCCACCGATCGGCACCGACGACTCGTCCGTCATCCTCGCTCGCGATAACGGCCTCCTCCTCCGCCGCCGCGCTTTTGGCAGCTCGTCGCACCGTCGAAATTCGCATCGCTCAGCATTTCGCGCTGCCGTTCCAACTTTCAACCTGCGCGTCAATTCTCCGAAGCGACGCGAATTTTTGCCCGCCGACGACAGACGAATTCGTCGATGCCGCGGAAAGTTTTTAACAACTTGCCGGCGATCTTATCCCCCGCCGTTTAGTCCCAGTCTGCAATAGACGATTTTTAAGCCCCGAGCCTTAAGAAATTGACCAATCACGGTCAAGTATGAGTAGAATACGCGACTGTGATCAGTCAATTTCTTAAGGCTCAGGGTTTTAAATCTCTATTGTAGATTAGCAGTCACAAATCGTATCTCGTTCAGTCGGGAAGGCGGCTTTTTCCGGTCTCGAGTTTCGCGCACGAGGGAGGTGCCAAGGATGAGATCACGCGCGCACCTGTATAAACGAGGCTCGCGCAAAATTCTCAGTAAAACTCTGTCGCAAACGGTGTAAACCAGTCGCGTGAATAACACCCTCGATTTTGGCTGGGGAAGCCTCGCGTCTCTCGCTCGGCCGCGATCGAGCGGTGTCCCTTGTTCCGCGGATGCCGCTCCGGGCGATCGTACAGGGGGTGCGTTCGGGAGCGCTACTCAGCGCCGAAAGCGTCATTCTATTTTTGTTGCGTATCAGTGTCGGTCTACAACCTTGCTTTAAGTAAGCCGTAAGCCTTAAGCCGTAAGAAATTCACCGATCGCGGGTGAGAGAGGAATGAGTGCCTGTGATTGGTTAATTTCTTACGGCTTTATGCGCGTATCACACTAGCGATTGGCGGCTGCGTCTGCGTTTGCGTTTGAAAATAGACGGCCGGTTAAACGGGAATCGCGAATCGCAATCGTCGGCAACTCCTTTCTGATTGGTCCAGAGACAATCGTAGACGCAAACGCGAACGCAGACGCGTCGCCAATCGCTAGTGTGATACGGGCATTAGGCTTACGGCTTACTTGAAGCAAGGTTGTAGACCGGCACTTATTCGTCGAGTAAAGATAGCGAGCTCCCCCGAACGCACCCAGGATCGTCGGTCCCTGGGCACTTTACCCTCTCGGCGGCCTCCGGCCGATTCGCGTGCGGGATTCCTTCGCTTCGCGGTCGCTTTACTCACTTGGACGATAATTGATACCGAGCACGTGCTTACCAGTGATCGTCACGCGCTCGGAGCCGAGATGGATCGCCCCGTCGTCGGCCACTTGGATGACCACGCAAAACAAACCATATAATAGCGTGGATTTTATCGCGAGCCGCGACGCGCGCGCGGCACGCGATAAAATCCTAGGCGAGATTCTTGGCGGAATCCCTCGCGCCTCGCCGCGCCGCGGATTCATCAGCGTGCACGTTACGCGCGCAGGTACCTTCGCCGTCTTCATTGGGCAATCGGCAACAGAGCCCGGGCTGCGTCCCGATCCGCATAGCGATCTCATCGCGGAAAGTGACCTCACGTGGTCGCTTTAGAGTCTCCGCTCGCGCAGTTCAGTGAGTCACAAGACACGACACGCCGGCTATCATTTATATGGCAGTTACTGTAGCCGAGGCATCGTAGATGCCCGCGGCTTATTACGACCACTTATTTCGCTCAGCTTCTTTTCTCGCTTCGCCGTTTGCGTAATCGTGACGGAAGCGCCGAGAGAGCCAAGATAAAATACGTATATTTCTTTTTCCTCACCGCGGACGCGCCACGGTGGAAATTGATCTCGAAATGTTTACCGAGTTTACGAGGCCACGCGTCGCGGCCGATCGAACGACGAAAGGGAATTCTTTTCGCGAGTCGGCGCGAAGGTAGCGAAATCGCGATTGGTTTGCCGCGGCCGAAGGGTCCGACGCGTGCGACGACGGTGGGCGTCGACCTTGAATCAGCTGTTCGTCCTCAATGTCGACGATATATTAATAACGCGTGTCCTGTGTGCATGTAGGGGGTAAAAATTGGCCTCATTAATATTATTGTCCCCTTTATTTCTTTCGGTAAAATCTTATGCTCGATTGTCTGGATATAACATTTTAATATTATAAAAAAAAAATAAATTAATACAATTCGTATGGCTCAAATGTGATAAACACAAATTTGAATAAAGGACTAAGAGGCGTGGCAGGGTGTTAGTGTCTAAATATTTTATTCTAAACGTATTGCGAAAAAATAACATTTTTATATCAAAAATAATTAAGTATCTAGTTTGTACAAGTATCCATTTTAGTTGGCGCAATTTGATGACATCATTACTTTTGTAGAGACAATAAGATTTTGTTTTTCTCACAAAATATATCTAAATAATTATTATATAGTATACTTCTTGATTGGATGGCGCTTATACTTGGCGTCTTTTTTTACCTTTTTAAAAAAGATTTTTTTTAAGGTTATTAATAGCACCGCGTGTGCATGTAGGAGACATTGTACTCCCGGGTCGCGCGCGGCAACGTTTCGCGAACCTGTCGAGTGCGTGTAACGAGCCACCGCGAAACTTGCCCTCCGTACTCGAAAACACCTGTTGATCGAGGCGGGAATAATTTCGATAAATGTTTTTCGCGTTAAGAAAAAGAGGAGCTTTCCGCTGCCCTCGCGTTCACGTTGCAGCCAGAAGTGCGTAACAAGGGAGGATCTGTTTACGATCGCGCGAGAGAAAATCGTACGATCGTATCGAGAGCTGTTTGACGAGTGTAGCTAACGGGAGATTTGACATTTTTCTGTCGCGAGTGACATTTGCGAGAATGGAAAAGTGTCGAATGCAATTGTAAACCTCTTGTCAACCGATACGTTTCTACGCGGGAAAAGTGACACGGCTCGAAAATGGCAATTTTCCAGGAGAGCGATTTTACAAACTTTCCAGACGCGTGTTGCGTTAATGACTTTATCCGAATGACAAATGCAGCGGTTATCGTTTCTCCCACCACGCTGATGACGCTTTTCAGAATAAAAGCACGCACGCTCTCGAGTTGATGAAAAATTCACTATTTTTTTACTCCCGTCGCTTTCCTCGCGCAAAGGCGATATAAATGGCGAGAGGTTTATAATTGCGTTTGTCGTTTTTTTTTCCTGCTTTCGCACGTATCTTCCGCTGGCGTCGCGTAGAAATTGCATTGTTCGCGCGGCGAGATGTTCGTGCCAAGCGGAGGAGATTCGATTATTAGGAGATTTTGCGGAAATAGAGAGAACGGACGGACGTGGCGCGGCATGCGTCATGACAATAATTGCCGTGGTAACTCCAGTAGCGGATTACCCGGTTTTAACGCATTGTTTCTGCGGCATTTTGCGCGGCGCGGCGTGTGATAAGAGCCGGCGGTGAATTTCCTCGTGATATACTTCCGAGATAAGACGCCGATATAAAATCGCGTTTATCGGCTCTCCACGGGACATTGTGCCGCAAGAGTGCGTTTTTAGCTCGGCGTTTCTCTTTTTATTGCTAAAATATCGCGTCCCGCGAGAGATGCGTTTAGGGGCCGTGGGGGAAAAACGACACGCCAAAATCAAGTGTTAGGGACAAAAGTCTCTCTCTCTCTCTCTCCGATTTCATATTTATCTTTTATTTCCTTTTATATTGTTATCTCAACCACTAACTCACGTGCACTATTCACTCACGGTTTATTGTCTCGTAGTAATTTCCTACGCGGAGAGAACTTTCTCTTAAAATTCACCCTGAAAATCACGCGAGCGCGGGGCAACACGGCGTTTTGAAGAACTTTATGGGGGGGGCTTTTCGAAATTTTACCATACATTTTGCTAGCAATTACACTGCATTGTAAAACTGTAAATTTGTCTTTTGTATTTTGTATCGCGGTCTTATTTATGCGGGAGTTCTTGTAACCCTAAGGTGAAGCAATAAATTATAACTAATAATTATACTTAGTACATATTTACTAGTACAATTTCGAAACACTCGCATAAAATTCTCCGAAATGCCACGTTGTCCCACGATTACATGATTCTCAGGATAAATTGTAAGAGAAAATTCCCTCCGTGCGCGCTTTAGGTGACTTGTCCCAGAGCGTGTAATAAATAATGACTCTTATTCTCTCTCTCCCTCTCTCTCTCTCTGTTCGATCGATTGATCGAAAATCGCGACAACCGCGGCGAGAAAATTAATCAGCGATAAAGTGATTTTTTCGACTTCGCCCGCCCGCTCGCTCGCTCGCTCGCTCGGTTTCGCATGATCTGTCACGTGTCTACGTCTGCCAGGCCGCTCGGATCGGGTCCACGAGCCGAATAGCGTTTTACGTCACGCGCCAGCACGCGGTAAACAAGCAATTCGCGCATCGACGCGGGCTTGGCGTCCGGCCAAAGAACCGGCTAGCGCTACTCCCCTTGGTCTTAGGCGATTTTGCGTACAATGCGACTGGCCGGTGAATCGAATCGCGGTGCCTCGCGCCGGGCATGCGGCCATTATTTTAATTGCTCCGCTTGCCGCGAGCCGGAGTACATCCTCTCGGGATGTGGGATGCTCTCGGGGAGATTCGCGGACGACGCGCGTGTGTGCAGGGATAGGCGCTATGTCGCTGGCGCATTGCGGTAAGCGGTAGGTACGCGCTCTATTTCGCGTTCGCATCGACGTAGCCTAGCGTCGTACGTGCTGTATGGGGAAGCGCACGAGAGCGGGAGGGGCCCGACCTTGCGCGCGAGAGAGCGATAATTGGCGCCTTCTCTTTCAGCTTCCTCGATGGAGGGCACCGGTAACGACAAGCAGAACGAGTCGGACGAGTGCGACGTGAACGGGGACAACAGGAAGCAGGATGACGACGACTCGACCGGGCAGGAGGACGTCGAACGGAAGATGAAGGCGGAGGACAGGCGCGAGTCCTTGGAGAACATGAATCTGAAGAACGAGATGAAGACGCTGAAGAAGACGCTGTCGGCGGACGACGAGGAGGCCGACGAGGAGAACGAGGGCAGCAAGGAGTCCGCCGACGAGGAGGAGCGCAAGGAGGAGGCGCGGACGGACGGAGGGCCCGGCGAGAAGAAGGAGCAGGAGTCGTCCAGCGACAGCACGTCCACCAGCACCACCGACGACGAGTCCGAGACCAGTTCGGAGGACAAGACGGAGCCGTCCAAGCCGGAAACGGCCCAGACGACGCAAACGGAGGCGACCTCGCGGGAGGAGTCCAAGGAGGGCGCGTCCAAGACCGAGGACACGACGGACGACAGCGACATCGAGGATGATCTGGTCTCGGCGATCAATTACAATACCATCACCTCCCTGGCGGCGCTCAAGGATATGCTGCAGTCCTCCGGGGAGGACTCGGACGGCGTCGACAGTTTCTTTCACCATTACTTCCTGTCGCATGTAAACCGGCTGCCGTCTAGGAACCAGACGCACAGCCCGTATCCCTGGGGCAGGAGATTGTCGGAGTGCCGGGAGGAGGACGAGTACGAGACCGAGGAAGGTGAGGGGAGACGGTCGTCTCCGACAGGAGTTAATTGCCCCGCGGATCGAACCGGGTACCGCGGGCAATTACGAGGGAAGCGTGCGGTTACGAAATATAAGCTATTGCGAGGAGCTCGCGTCCAATGAGAGAGAGCTAAGATTAGCTTAGCGTGCTCGCGTTTGGCAACGCACCGCGCGAAAAGTCTCTCCACTTAGGTAACGATCGCTTAAACGTATTTATAAAGCGTTTCTCCTGTTCTTCTCCCTGGAGTCTGAGACGCGATCCTTGACCGCTCGCGAGGACGCGCTCGGCCTTGATTTATGAAACATCGCGAGTTTCCTTAATCGCGTTGCAACGAGAGCGTTTATAATCGCGCTTGTTTTTCTATTCTCGCCTTCAATAATTAATAGTAACGACCGGCTCTTAACGGCGCGCTTTTTATAATCTCGTCGCGGCGCGATGAATTTCCCCGACGTTCCAACGGGGTCACAGACGCGCCTTTGTGCCACTCCTCGACCTTGAGGGCCGTACGCGCGCGAATCGGGAATAACGAGAGCCCTGTCGCCTTTTCCACGGCGTGTACGAGTCCAGATCGCGCTGACTTTTACAGGGAAGAACGCCGACAGCCCGAGCGTCGACAGCAAGAAGGACACGTCGAAGACGCAGGTCGAGAAGACCGACAGCGCTTCCTCCAAGACGTCCAAGGCGTCGAGCCCGTCGTCCTCGGAGAATTCCAGCTCGGAGAAGATCGACGAGAAGTCACTGGCGACGTCCAGCGTGTCGGACGCGGCGAAGCCACCCTCGCCGTCGTTAACGGTGACGGCGACGACGACGACGACGGCGGCGGCGGCGGCGGCGGCGGCGACGACGGCGACGTCGCCGACGACGGGCGCGGCCGCGGCGGCGACGACGGTCTCCGGCAGATTCACCACGTCCACCGTGACGTCGCCGACGTCGACGGCGAAGCCTCCGCTGCGGAGGAGGCACACCACCGGCCCGGGCATGACCTTCCCCGCCACGGATCCCCCCTCGTATTCCACCAGCATGACCTTCTCCAGGACCAGCCCGTTGCCCAGCCCGCACTTCGACAAGCGCTTCTTCGACAGCAGCCTGATCGAGATAAAGAGCCAGGCGAGCAGCACCAGCACCCTCGACTACGACTCGACGGAGGAGGTGTGGGTGCGCAGGATGGACCTGCTGCAGGAGAGGAAACGGCGGGTGAGCTATTATCTCGAGTATTAACCCGAACGAGATATTAACGAGACGCGCCGGGAATTTCGCCGCCTAATCGAATGCGACTGGGCTTTAATGACTGCACCGTAAATGTCCGGCATTGCAGCGCGAGACCTGTTGTACCTGTTGGCGAGGTAGACAAATCTTCGCGTGTAAATCCGCGCGGTAGAAACGATCGAGTTCGCCGCTCGGGCGAAGCAGATTTAACGGGGACAAGTGTTTCATTACGGCGAAATAATGGGCGGATTAACAGAAATTACGCTCGACAAATAAAATTCATTTCCTCGCGATCCTCTTCGTGTTTTTTTTACCGTCGATTTTATTCGGTGTGTATTTAAAAAAAATAGAGGGCGCGTATTTTTTAACGAGAAACGTGTGGTAATTGCCTGAATGAATGGAATATTTCGCGCGCGAGAGACCCGCGCGGTCGCTCTGATATTATTGAACGTAATTTATTTATTTGCAAAAAAATGCGAAAAAAGCATCTTTCTCACGTCGCGCGCACTAAATCGGCGAAGCGTGCGTAAAATATGCTGTGCCGGCAAACACTCGTACGTTCGTGGACGTTTTCTTACCGCGGAGAGACGCCCAGCGCCTTCGATTGAACGAAATCGGTCGTCGTCGTCAATCATTTTCGTGCGCTATCCCTTTAAGGATCGGAGACGCGGCGACATGTGGACAATCGCGCCTCGTCGGCGTCGGCGTTCCATTTGCCCCGTCTATAATTGCACCAATTAACCAATTGCCGCGAGTGGAGGCAGTCCCGTAAATTTGTTTACAGCGACGTCCCGGCCGGGCGATTCTTGCGAAAGCGGATCGAGCGATCCCCCGTCGTTCGCGCGCGAATACCGCTCGTTGTTTCCCCGCCGATTGCGCCGCGATTATTCGTCAGTTGTACGTCAACGAAACGAAATTGGATTCTTCGTCGCCGCCCATTGTCGTCGCGTTTGCACGCGTTTCTCCGGGCGGCGCTTTATTAAAATACGCTTATTAAAACGCGCGCGCGCGCGCGTCGTTATTATTGCACAAACGGCTGAAAATTCGCGCCCCGAACATTTTCTCGACGGTGCCATCCGATCCGCTGCCTCTCTTTTTACCATCCATCGCGCCATTGTGCCCGCGGGCACAAGGTTGTTGCGTTTTTACACGCGCGTTCCTTTCGAAATCGTAAAGTAGCTCGTAAAGTCGCCAGTTCGAAGATATTCGCCGTTGGCGCGCGCAGCTTCCGCAAATAATAGGCCTAAAACTTGAGTGCAGCTTAAACGAAATATATATGTGTACAATCGATCGTAAAAAGAACTCGAGGGCTTCCGCTTCTTCCGCTCTAGAGACCCTGTGATCAGAGAGACTGGCCGTAAGGGTTCGTCAAATTCCCCGCGAGTGAGAGAGAAACGTGGACTGTCTCGCTCGCGGGAATTTGACGAACGCTTATGGCCAGTCTCTCTGATCACAGGGTCTCCGTTCTGCTCTTTCTTCTTCTCCTTCTCTTCCGAGAGGATTATCTTGGCGGGTCGGCTAACAAAGTTCCTTTCCGACGGAACAATTGGCGTATACGCGGGCAACGGTCGCGGGTTCCCGATTGTTTTCGCCGTCGACGAATGATTTTCGCGGTCGTTGATATTTTTTTCTGAAATTTCCGCGGCCGCTCGAGAGTAACGAGGGGATTATGTGTTTCTAAATGTCGTATCGTCTGCCCCAGATCTCACGATGCGGCTCTAACGTCTCACGGAAGGGGTGAGGCGAACTGGTACAAGGCTTCCTTAAGCTCTATCGATTCACTCGAAAGAGAAGTTATTACCGATACCCCGCGGGGAGGTTCTCATGACGAATAGATATTTTGACGTGTCCACCGTCCCGTGCGTGTCCTCGCCAGCGGGAAATATTGGAACACTATTAATTGGAACGACTCGAAGCGAGCACGAACGTCTTACGTCAAGGCTCGGGCACTATTTTCTACGTTTTTCCCGGGATCGCTGTACATTTCCGTCGCTTTCGTCATTTCGGTTCGCCGTGCACTGCATCGCGCTCGGACGCACTTTGCGATTCTGCCGATTTTTTTTTTCAGAGGGAATTTCTCGGCTCGTTAGAAACACCCTACACATGTACGTACGATGTTTCGAATCGATATCGATCTTCGTTGCGTCCACAGTTACATTTAACATTGACTTTCACAACGGAAAAAGAGTCCTTATCAATCTTATCGGGCTTGAGCGATATGGGAACAAAAGTTACCTCGCGCTGTGCATCGAAGAAAAATTAATTGAATGGCAACGCAATGTTTCACGTCGCATTCCAATTTTAACGGATATCATTGTGGGGAAACGCGGAGATCTGCTTATCGTCCGTCGCTAATTTTCCTGATGGGCGCAAATTTTCATCGCTCTCGACAGCGAAACAATTGTTTTCCAATGCGCGAAATTTTTTCTTGGACTCGCGAATTCCGAATTAATTCCTCGCGTCTTTACGATCTATCATAAAACTGCTCATTTCTCGTAACGTATTGATTAATTTGCACGATACAGTGACAGTAAGATAATACACGTGTACGAGTATCGACGCGTTTCAAGATAAGGAATGATCTCGCGTTTTATGATTCCACTGCTCTCAAAGAGCGCGACGCTCTCGCGAAGTTGTACAAGCTCGATGAATATTTATATCGTGTTTTCGAGCAAACTGCAATGCGCGGATCGCACGAGATTCTAAACAACATATAGAAAACGGCTAATGCGGGTCTAAGGCAGGACGTAGGTAGCCTAATACTTAAAGGTTCAACATAGGGCCAAAATTTCGACTCGGGGGAAAACGTGAATTAAACCAACAAGTTAAGCGACGTTTTGGTGAGGCCGGGCCTTAGTCGGTTAGAAATTTACTTTGATCGATTATCCCAGAATTATATACGCGCAGTTCCCATTTCTCTTTCATGTAGCGCAACTTCAGAAAACTCGGATAAATAAAATTACAAAAATAAACTGCAAGTCAAAAGGGAAAAAAAAGAGAGCGAGATAAAAATATGAAGGAAAAGCGATATTTAATTTCGCGGAGGTGCGCACGCTGTGCCAATATTGCCGCTACTGATAATTGATGTTACACTTCCGTCTTCAACGGCGCGGCTGTAGGCGGCGGCGGACTAACGATAAGAGCTTTTCACGCGTAAGAAAAGCTAGCCGTATCGCGATAAAATACCATAAAAAGAAAAATGGGTCGCCACGCGGATGATGCACCCCGATAACATCGGCGATAACGTCGTTATGGCAATTATCGGGGTATCACTGTCGTCGCGCCTGTCAATCGGGGAAAAGACGAACGTGCACGCGTCTTTGGAATTCACGGTATCCGCGCGCGCCGTCAGTCAGCGCCGAGAGATCTCGTCGGGCGCGTTTATTGTACGCTTTCTAAAAAAGCGCCGTTTCAAAGTCATGCCGCATCGATTCTCGCCGGTGCAAATATACGGCGGGCGTACGCGCGTTTTTCCGCGTTCGACTACCGGCGCATTCGATCGCGGTTTCGCCGCGACGGGTCGTAGGAGGGTCCGACTCGAGGACGCGACGCCTGGGTGGCAGGACGCATTTCGGGAACGTCGACAATCGCGGTACACGCTTATTCAGACTGGACGCGATTAGAGACCCTGTAGTCAGAGACTGGCCGTAAGAGTTGGTCAAATTCCTGCGAGGGTAGGATCGTAGAAGAGTGCGGTAGCCTACGTTGCTCTCTCGCTCGCAGGAATTTGACGAACTCTTATGGCCAGTCACTGATTACAGGGTCTCTAGACGCGATGAGCGATGAACGACGAGCGATAACCCCATGGGCGTGCAGTCTTCATAGGAAAACAGTGCGCTTTTCCCATCGCGTCTAGAGACTCTGTCATCAGAGACTGGCCAGGAGAGTTCGTCAAATTCCCGCGAGCGAGAGGGAAACACAGGCCATCTCGCTCCTCGACGACAGGTGGAGTCGTAGAAGAGCGAGGACAGCCTATGTTTTACCTCTCTCACTCGCGGGAATTTGACGAACTCATGCGGCCAGCCTCTGATTACGGGGTCTCCAATCGCGTCTAGTCTGAGCGAGCCGGCAGTCGTAGCGCGGCGCGACAGACTGCGCCGGTACCGCGAGGCGAGCGATGACCGTCTCTCGCGAAGGAGAATCGTTATCGCGATAACGGGGACCGCGTGATTAGAGGCCGGGAGATACGCCGGGGTATCCACCGCTGTCCGCGACACTCGCCACTCGACGTCGCGGGCTCGATGGCGAGCGCGAAACCCACGAGGGTACGCGTAACACCTGGGATAGGCGCGCCGTATTCGACTCGACTACCGTCGCAGGATGTCGGCGTCCCTCGGGAGGGTGCGGAAGTACTCCCTGGTGCCGTATCTGGACCGTTGCCCGGAGTACCACGGGACTTATAAGGTATTCTGCGAGAGGTGTCCCTTTGCAAAGTTAATCTCGCTCGCGCGGCTGATAAGTCCACGTCAGCCCTGGAGCAGGCGGCGAGGTTCTTTCGCAAACAGGAGAGGGAGAGGGAGGAGAGGGGGAGGAAGAGAGAGAGAGAAAGGGGTGGGGGCTGGAGATGAGAACCTCTCGAAGGTCGCCATCCTGTCGCGCCCCTCTTCGATCTCGTCTCCTATTGTGCTCCGCGGGAATTCACGTGAATGCGCATAACGAACATCTCGCCACGCGGGGCGCCTATCAATGTATCCCCTTTATGCGCTAAGCAATTTGTTATTTCGCAATTATACTTGCCGACCCGGTTAACTCCCCATTACACCCTCGCCGACGACTCGCCGCCGTCGCCGTCGTTAACGAATATACTTGTGCGAGAAATGCCGCGCGCGGGCAAACGCGGGGCGACGACGACCTCGAAAGTGCGCCTGAAATTCACCCTCGCGGCCCACCAACCCCCGCGCGTTTCCGAGCGTTCTCCTTTGCCTCGTCTCGGAAGACTCGGGGGGGATAAAAATATCAACGCCGCACGCGAATCCTCCGTAGTGGAGAGATAACGGCCGGTGGTCTCGTGCAAATCGTGGGCGAATCGCGAGGCCGAATCCCAAACCCTTTTCCTCGATAGAGGCCACGGGGACGATTACGTTGACCGGCGCGCCGCAGAGTTGACGAAGCGTGATTCACATTCTGGTGTGGACGATATGAGGTTGACCGAGTGGCGGGAATAAAAATAGATTTTAGACTTGCAAATGTTAAACGCTCCGGGAGACGCGAGCGGGACGCGAAAACGTTCGTACGCGCTGTCGGTTGGACATTTTCCAGAGCGGCTCTCTCCCCCTTTGGACGAATTCCAAAGATATTATTATTATGTAATTGGATACGCTTTATCTTGATTATCTCACTTTTTTCCCTCTAATAAATCAATGCGAGACTTCGGCCGCGTTGCACCGCGCGCCGCGGCCAGGAGGCGAGGTGCCTACGCATAAGACCGCGCGCGTAAATACAATCGCGCTATCGTGCGATTAAACAGCGATATCTAATCACGGTCTCCGCGTTCGTCTTCATTCTCTTCGCGGCTTACAATAATTCTCGCGAGCCGCTGGGGTCGCGAGGAGTCGGCTATTTTATTATATTTTTTTTTTCGGGATTCCGCGCGGACAATCCGATCGATCGTCTTCAACAAACGACTTTCTTCCTTTCAGGAGCTCGGCTCGCAGCCGCTGCCGACGATCGTGACCGAGGACACGGATAATTCCGGACATGCTTCTCAAGGTCACAGGCCACGGGCAGGTGAGTTGGTAATTGACGATCACGTACGCGCTCGTTACATTTCGCATTCTCCTCCGGGGGCACGCGAGCGACGCGAGCGTTTCGCACGGAGATTCGTATCGCGTAATTGTCATTCGTTTATCTGCCGGCCGGGAAATGAGTTCTCTCCGGTACGCAGCGAGGTGGCTTACGCAAGCGAGAGAGCCCGCGATTGTCACGTCCGAGCGCGAGGCCTGCATGCAGCCAGGTAGTTAAGCGAGAAAATATTTATGCCGCAATTTGACTTGCAGATACGTGGGGCTCGCACTCGAAGACGATCAAAAAGTCGTCCTACGGGAGCGCGCCCAGCTCGGGAAAATCGACGCCCCTGCCGCAGCCGGCCGAGCCGTCGAGCTCCTCGAGTTCCGGCAAGGGGGGCCGAAAGGCTTCCGGCACCCGGTCCGGTTCCACCAGCCGCAGCAACAGCGCGGAGCGCCGGAGAAGCGGCGGCGGCACCGATGACACCGCCAGCCCCACGAGAAAGCCGGCGCTCTTCGACGCCTTCAGACCGCGGAGCAAGTCGGACGCCAGCAAGAGGAAGCCCAGTATTATAGCTAATATGAAAAGTGCCGTTCAGGTACAAACTAGAGAACAATACACGCATTACCAGGTCTGGGAAGTAACTCGTTACTTGTAACGAAGTTACAGTTACTTTCTTTTTGCTAACTCTAACTTAACTTCGTTACTTTCTCGCCATCTGTGACTGTAACTTGGCTCAGTTACACTTTTTCGATAACTAGCGACTAATTTAATGGGTTACTTTATATATTTTTTAAACCACTGCAGATCGCATTGGGTCTTGAATTTGCGCATAAACGCCTTCATCGACGCTTTACAATTCAAATGCGGATTTGAGATTTTTATTTTCATTGCAAGAAAGCAGCTGCGAAGTGACAATTTGTTACTTTTCGAGTAACTGTAACTAGATACTTGCATAGAGTATCTTTCCCAATCCTGCGTATCACACAGCAATGAAGATGAGACGTGCGTTATAATGATTAAATTTTTCATTTTTTAATCAAGTCTTTAAATCAAGTCTTCTGTAGTAGTTTCAGTGAAATTCTGTTAAACTGTGCTGTTAAATTTAACTCACCGTGTAGTCGCTACTGTTCCTACTCAACGTGTCGTTAGCTTAATTAAACAACGGAGTTAAAAGAAACCATAAAAAGGGTTGAATAAAAGATGTAGTTGCTCTTTTAACTACAACTCGTGTTAGAATAATAAATTTTGCTACACATGAGAGTTAAAAATAACGAGATATTGAGTAGCAGCATTGGCGACTATTCAACGAGTCAAATTTAGTCGCTACAAATTGAATAGTGAAGAATTGATTAATGGAGAGATCCGCGCACATTAGACAGCTTCATACACATTGCTGTTAAGCGGACAATATATTATAATCATAATTAATAGATCACGTTGTTAATCTCATTGTACGACTGTCCAGCATTCGTTGCACAGAGGATCGCACGGAAGCTCGTCGGTGGATGTACATACGGAGAAGGATCATCATAGAGAAAGCCAGAAGGAGCAAAAGGAGAGCAAGGAGCAGGGTAGCGGACGGCCTAGAGCTGGCTCGGAAAGCAGCAGGAATCCTGTGAGCAAAGTCATGGATCTCATCAGGCACAGGAGCCACAGTGCCTTGAGCGCGGAGGACAAGCGGAAAGCGGTAAGCGGTCTCCACTACGTTCAACCACCGTTCAACCACACGCCGGCAGCAGCGGTCGCATTTGCATACGTTCATCTCGTCGACGACAAGTGCGTTTCGTATTGCGTACCGTGAAACGCAAGTAGACCTTTCTCACCTGGATACCGGCCGCGATGCAGCCTGGATATACCGCAATGCAGCGAGCAATGCAGACCCGCGCGTATCGGCGCCGCCGATTAAAAATCCCAGAGTTGTATTTCAACTGGCATTTAACGTGACATTGTTTATGCGCGCGGGCCGTTATTCAGCCTTCGATATTTGCATTCAATTTTTCACGCGTGTCGGATATGCGGACACCGAGCCGTCGGGGGGGGGGGGGAGGGTATACTTTCCGAGTCGCGGTGCGTGCGAGGTCCGTAAATCCACAGGTAGGAGCCGTCGCTCGGTCGCGTCCGAGATCCGCCTTCGTAAAGGTAGACGTCTTTTTTACCGCGCGCCATACTGAGAGTGGGCAAGCGCGTTTTCTACCTTCTCGCCGTACGACTCTCGTCCCGCGGGCGGGAGGAGGAAATTGTTACCTGTCAAGCTCGCCCGCTGAACAACACCGCGTCGTCGAGTGACGCAACGTGTAATTACAATCGCAATTAGGTATATAACCGGGCAGAAACGCGACGGTCACGAACGGTGACGTTGACGAGCGTTGCATTCGCGGCGCATCGAGACGCGTCATTTATTATTTATTTTTCATCATCATCGATAGTCGCGAAGCTGTCGAAGATAACGTTACAGGGAGATCTTATTATTACACGAAATGCACCTGCAAGGGAGCGTCGTCAATTACCTTCGTCGGCCAAACTGTACTCCACGAACAGTCGAAAGAATCTTACATAAGAAGAGAGGGGGCGGGGGGTATGCAAAGATATTGTTGAAAAGCGATGAGACACGAGAGACGCAGGGCGTAGATCGATTTCCCTTTAATCCGTTCGCGCTCGAGCGGCGTTTACTACTCGCAGCCATTGAAGGTAACGCAATTTACGCTTGACGAATGAATTTCAATCTCGTTCACCTTCAGTGGCTTGTTGAAGTAGCGAGAACGGGTAAAAACGAACTGGCCGAAACGTTATCGGTCCGTTGTCACGTCTGCCACATAGCGCGTGACGTTCCTTCCCTTCTTCCTCGTCTTATCAACCTCGCTTCGGGGGGCATGTGCCGTTAAGATCTACTTGTTGGCAGAGGCGGCTCGGACGGGGAGAGATACTATTTGCCCAAGACGATTAACGCGACACACAAATGCGCTCCATACGGACGCTCCCGTGACATCTGCTCGAGTAATTATCGCGGGCGAGAGAGACGTCTCCTCTTCACGCGCCGCGAAGATGACTCGGCGTGATCGGGTCCGCGGCGGTTCCTCGGGAACAGGTGTTGCCGTGGTTGCTCGCGAACGGGCCCAACGTGTGCAGTCGAGCACGGTCGCTGCTAGTGGGAGGTAGCGCTTTTCGTGCGTACGCGTGTCACGCGGCGAGAGTGAGAGAGAGAGAGAGAGAGAGAGAGAGAGAGGGGGACGGACGGGAAAGAAAGCGAGTGAGACACGTTTGCTCACCCAGTGACTCGCCGCTTATTCACGTCGAATATGTAACGAAAGGAATATGTAACGAAAGGAAAAGGGGGGAAAAGAAAAGGAAGAGCGCGCGCCCGTCACTTTTTCGCGACAGAGTGCGTGTGGACCGCGCGACTACGCGGACCGAAGAGAGCCGGCCGGGGTGCGTGATCGGCCGACGTCGACTGGGAAATTAACCGACACAATTGTTTGGCGAACGAGCGCACGTTTCTCGCGAGTGAGGCAACACGCGGGTCCCCTACGAGGAAAGCTCTGCCGCCGAAAGCCCGGCCGCCCAGGAACCCCCGCGCGACACGTGCTCTCCTCTCGCGCGATTCATGGAAACGTTCCTCGCGCGTCGCGTTACGAGATATCGCGGAATCGCTGAGGCGGAGCTCGCGGAGGTGCGACGGCGACGGCGAGAAGATCCGCGCGGGATCCCGGGGAGATTTACGATCCCCGCGACCTAGATGAGACGATCTAGATTAGGCTGCCCCGACGATCCTCTCGCCGTCGCGCCGCCGAGTTTCGCTCATCCGCAAAACGCTCGGTGTCACGTCGGGTTACCGACAATACGAAATTTGCAATGGAAACTCCTCGGGCCTGTTTACGGCACGCTCCGCTCCGCGAATCGCGATAACAGTGTGCTCCCGTGCTAACCGACCATCTCGGATAAACACCACGTGTCGGAATTCCGTCGTCGGCGACCGACGCGCGGAAAAGAAAAGGCGACCTCCTCGAAAAACAACGCGTTGAAATTCCATCGACGCGGCACGTCGAAGCGCGTCGTTCGCGCCTTCGCTCTTTATTTTTTTCCTCCACGCTGTTAAACGCCGAACAATAGGGAATTAATTTATTTAAAAAAAATGCATATAGAATTCAACGTTACGGCTCGAATCGAGTGAGTTGTTTGGAAAGTCGCTTGTTAAAAGTTTTGTCGTCCGAGAGATTATTGCTAGGCTGAAAAATAAGTAGGGGGAAAAAAAAAGGAACGCTATCGCTCGCGTTTGTTTGTAAGACGAGGTGCTCCAGCGATAGCCGACACAATGTGCGCTGCACCTGCGGCATATGGGTCACATTGTGTTAGTAATCGTCCTGTCTTTATCGCGCAGACAACGCGTCACGACGCGTAGTTTACGTCGCGCTGCCGTGCGGGGCTAATTATCTTCGGGCGCGCAATACCGCGAGAACCCCGAGGGCGGGAAGGGCGGGAAGGGCGGTAGAGCTTTCGTCGATCGGCCCACAGTAGATCGGCGTCTGCGCCGATGCGCACGTGGCGGGTCTTATGTAAAGAAAAAAAAACCCGTAATTAGGAAAATTACGACGGACAAGGCCGTTGACGTGGACGGCGCGATCGGTGATGCGGATCGGCGGCGGCGGATAAGTGGTGGATCGATCCCCGAAGATGTCTTCGTACTTCCGGTGGATAAAGAGCGGCAAGAAGGACGACGCGTTCGGCGCGAAGCCGAGGAGCCGCTCCCTGGACGCGAAGAGCCTCGAGGCGTCCGGCATTCGGCTGATTTTGCAAAACGTACTTATCGCCTGGACCCTCTTCTACCCCAGACCGTTCGCTCCCGACGCGCCGGAGGCGTCTTACCTCCGGCGAAAACTGTACGCCGCTGTTCGTTGAGATTGCAGACGGAAACGCGTGATTGTCCGTAGTCTAGATTGAAAGGAATCGAGATTGAAAGGGATCTAGATTGAAAGGAAACGTTCTCTCGGATGTACGGAAGACTGACGTTCGCGCGTGATCGTCAAACCCAGGAAGAGCGTTATTGGGTCGCCCCAGAAATAATGCGGATACAAAAGGGAGCTTGATTGATTCTTCGGGCTTGGAACTTAAACACCTTTTGTCGCTGGGAATTCGCAGTTGCGAAGTCAAAGGCGGAATTCAAAGTCCCGCCGAGACGGGAAGAAGGACGCAAATGTGACGGTGGAAAACACAGGGCAAAATTATATCACCCTTAGGTGTTGGCATAACTTTCGTCAAAGTGCGTCGAATGTGCTACAAATTTTACAGTAGACACCTGCACCCACAGAAAAAATTTCCGGATTCAGCGCTGTTACACTTGAATGCGTCATAAAATAGGGTCGATGTAGCGCCAATCATATTTATTGTAGAGAAAGGAATATTTTAATCTTGAATGAAAAGTTCTAAAATCTAGAATCGCCTTTTGCCGAATATCGCGGTGCCAACTTCGTGCGCCGTAAGATGGAGGGAAAATTTACTCTAAACGCAAGAATAGATAAAGTTACTCTTGTCTCAATATAGTAAGTCAATCTTTTTTCAATTCCATAGAGGAGAATCAGAATTATTGATTTTATTTTGACATTGTCTTAATTTTATGCTAAATGAGGTTGCGGGAAATATAAATGCGTCAAGGATATTTGCTGTCTCGGTAACAGAAATTCTTTCTGAGAGTGTGTGGGTGCATCTCGAAGTACACCATAATTTTTCAAGTTTTCATTCGTGTACCTTAAAACCCAGTTATGCTGAAAAACTCGAAAGGATTCGTGATATAATTTTGCCCGGTGCTGTATACGTCGGATTAAATTTGCAACGTCCGACTTTTCGTTTTATCTCGAAAGTATCCCCGGAAAAGATCCCCGGCCTCGCTTTGCTACTCGCGAGACGACCCGTGTATCTCGCGGATAATCGTGGAAGTGTTTAAAATAATTTGCACCGCGAGGTTTCGCGACACTTGCGCGTCGCGAAGATTTCTCCGGCGTCGCAATTTCAATAAACAGGAATGTATTTGCGTAGCCAATAGACCCGGCATGGAAATCGCGGGACATTTCGCGACCGCTGTCAGGCGCGTACGAATGAAAAATTGCGCGCGTCACCGTAAAACACACTTGATGCGCCACGACTGACGTTCCGTTTATTTTTCTGTTACAGAGAGCGGCGGTGCAGCATCAGGCGCAAGCAGCGTCGCAGAGTAAGTAGCTACCATAGTTAAACTAAGGTCTGTTTAATCTCATTGTTTGGGAAAAGGCGTAGATAACGCAGCCGGCAGATAAGAGCCGCGGATCTGCGCGATCTATTTTTATTCGGGCGGGGGAGGGTTTGTCGCAAGGCGTCATTGAGCTATTTCTTCAGCTGTTAGCGCGGGGATGCACATGGAATATTAATTTCTCGCTCTCGGTCTCGAGGGAGGAGAGCCGGAGCGTTATCTCTCGCGCGCGAGCGCCCGTTCGCGACAGATGCTGTCATCTGGTCGCCGAGCGTGTCACGTCGGTAATTCGACATCGAATTACTCGTGTCGATATTACGTCTCCAATTTTACAAAAATAGCTGGACACTTGACGATTTGCTGCAAATCTTACATTTATTTATTGAGGCCCTCGCAGTTGGAAAGTGACAGAGAACGAATTAAACTAAGCTTAAAGTTGAGCGACGCTGGTGAAATTAGGTCTCAGGGCTTGGTTCGTTCTTTGTCTCTTCCCAACTGTTACTTCAGAAAGAGATAAATATGAATTATACTAAGATTAGAGTTGAGCGACGTTCGGTAGAAATCGGGCCTTAGGTCCGGTTTCATCAGTGTTGTTTAGGCCCGGTCTACAATGAGTCGCAACTGTATGTTGATCCTTTTCCTTTCTGGGTGGAAAAAAAAGGACCGACATATAGTTCCGACTTCTGACTAACGACTAACGACTCATTGTAGACCGGGCCTTAACTTTAAGTTTTGCTCGATTCGTTCTTCGTCTCCAACTGTTACTTTAGAAAGAAACAAACGTGAATGAAGCCACGAAAAAACCACAACTAGCCGTCTATCGGTACAGAATCTCGCGAACGCGGGTCGCCGCCGGGGTTCGCCGTGTCTCGCGCCGATGGCGCGAGGATGCCCTCAGCCGGACCGGCCGGCGGCGCGGCGCGGCGCGGCGCGACGGCGCGAGAGGCGCGACGCGGCTGCCAGTGCACGACGCACGTTTCAGTAGCGGCACGGCGGTACGCGACGATCGATGGCCCGCGAGACTCGAAATCTGACGGCGGCCGCCGGCTCGCGGCACACTCGCCTCGCACCGCAGCACCGATACCGCGCGTCCACGTGACTCCGCGCGTCCCCTTCGCCGCACCGGCGCGGTACGGCGCGGCGCGGCGCGCACCGACGACGTCGTCGGCGACGACGACGATAAACAACGGCGGCGCGCGCGGTTCCCCGCGCGTACGTACGTAAACACAGCGGCGGCGGCGCGCGCGCGTCGCGAGCGCCCGCCGCGAGTGTGTTAGTGGGTTAGTGCGGCCACGTTCGGCGAAGGTCGGGCCACTCTTCGATGAGCCCTGCGGCACGCCGGCTACGCCGGTCGCCCCCGTTGACGTTCGCGCGACGTTACATGTGACATTGGCCGACGCGCAAGGTGCGGTCTCCGTTCTCCAGCCTCTCCTGCTCCCCGCTTGCCGGGCGCGAAGGGCGAGCGTCCTCGCGCGCGAAGACGAGGGTCGAGGCGTGCGCGAGCCTCCTCTCTGTCTCTCTCTTTCTCTCTCGCCGTCTCACGTGTCCGTCGTTTGCCCGAGAGAAACAAAAATTGCGTACGCGAGAGATAAGAGGCGAGAGAAAGACGGCGAAAGAGGCGGAGGAAAGACTAGGCGGATAACATTCGCGTCGTCTTTCGTAAGTATTCGTGCTCCTCGCCTCCTCGCGTCGCGTCGCCGCGGTTTATCGCCTTTTCGTTATCGTCACCTTAAACGGAGCCGAGCGTAAAGTCCATTCCTCGGAATACCAGCGACGCCGTCGGAGATCCCACCATGCACGATATATTTCTTCGTCTGCGCGTTCCCTCGTTTTTTTCTCTCTCCCCCTCCCCCTCGCCCCTCGCCCCGTTCTTTTCGCCGCGTTGTTACGTAACCGGACCGCCGAACGCGAATTTTTATCGCTCGAGAGCGGCGTGAGTCACGGCGGAGCCTCTACCGCGTCAACTACGTTGTTTTCGAGCGGCCGTTCGCGCCCTCGTCGCGATTTGTGTCCCTCGCTCGCTCGGCCCGGGACGAGACGCGGCTAATTGCTGCCGAGCGTTGGTAGGGTCGAGGGGGGCGAGGACGAGTGTCGCGGCGGAGAGCTCCCGGATAGGCTCCCGGGGTCCTCCGAGGCGCAATTAAAAGTCTCCTTTCGCTCGCGCCCGGCCGCCGCTTTCGGCGATTATATAGGTCGCCGGGAGGGAAAAGGAAGGTCATCCCTTTTTACGTATGAGAGAGGCGTAATATGAGCGCGCGCGCACTCGCGCTCACACTCGTTCACGCTCGCACGGTCCGCGCGAGGAAGCGATACGAGGCGCGAGCTCGCGTTGCGTGCGGCGTGGCTCCGATTCTGTCGGCGCGGCGCGTCGATGTGTGCAGACCGGAGGGTCTCTTCGCCGGCCTTGAGGAGAAACCGGTCTCTCCGGGAGAGATTCGTGCATCGATTGTTCCATGTTTGGAACCGGAAACGCCGCGCGTCACGCCGCGGCGGAGGAGTCTCTCGATCGGCGAGAATATTGACGAGCGTCGCCGTGCGAACCTAGAAGGGAGAGCTGAGTGTGTGTGTGTGTGTGTGTGTGTGTGTGTGTGTGTGAGAAAGAGAGGGAAGAGAGAGAGAGAGAGGGCTTGTTAATATTTTAGGGCGAAATTGCTTAGGAGTTTCGTCTCGTTTTCCCTCTTCCCACTCTCTCTCTTTCTTTTCCTTTTCTCGCGTCTCCGCAATTTCCATCATAATCGTTGGACGCTCGATAAGAATGCGGGCTTCGATAACGCCGCGTGGACGAGCCGGGCGCGGACCGAGCGACGCGACGGCTTTAAACTCGCGGCGAGTAAACACCGCGGCGTGTCGGGTGTCGTGAATTTTTACCGAGCGAGATCAGTCCGCGTCCCCTTCCCGCCTTGCGTTCAGATCGAATCTGAAAAGGACGGGGGGGAGGAAAGATTCTGAATGAGACAGCGCGACAAAGACTGGATTCTATTACGTAAGCCTAGTCTTCCATCGATCACTCGTCGCGCGGGATACCGTAAGAGAGACGGAATCGCGCGATATTTTCTCGCGACGCGTCGTGATTTGACGACAATAACGCGCCTAGCGGATTACTGCACGGTCGCCGGATAACGCCGCGAGACGGAGGGACTATTTACAAACAGTTTAGTCGCCGCTTATTCCCGTCCACGTACACATTTTCATGATCGATTGTGCCCGGGTACGAGAGTCGCAGCTCGAGACCAGCGCCCGCGTTCCGTGTCTGGAATAATCTCGCGCGAGAAAATATTATCGCGCGGAGAGTATTTTTTTCCCCGCCCGGGGAGACCACGTCGTTCGGCGTATCGAACAGCGCGCGTTTTGTGGAAACTCGCCTTCTCTCTCGTACGAAAAACTCGTTTTACTTACGAGCGTTATGCGGGGTCTACAATAAAAGTCGCAGAGTCGCAGTCGTAAGAATAATCGAGTATAATTGGTTAATTCAATCAGACAAATAAGAATTAACCAATCATAGTCGACTATTCTTACGACTACGACTTTACGACTTCCATGTAGACGAGGCTTTACCGTGCTTCTTGAACTTGGAACAATCGCGCCACTGGCGAAACAATTTGTATTTGAACGTGTTAAGGCGTTAGCGCGTTTCGCCTAACGAGACGTAACGCTAAGCAAGTAATTATTGTTAATTTCCGGTGGGCTCGAGGCGAGTGAGGAATCCCCGCGGATTTGTTAGTCCGAGCTTCACGGGTGTTTGCTAAATTAAATTAGGTGCGCTACGCGTTCCCGAGATATCCAGATACGCTACGCGGTCTTCCGTGGCTCAAGGTCTTCGCACCGAGCCGTCTCGTGCCTTTTCATATTTTACGTTCGGACACTCGGTACCTCCGCACCTTCAGTGTTCGCGGGGAGAAGTAGAAGCGGACCTCCCGCAAATCCGCCGGGGAGATTTTCCGCCCCCCCCCCCTTTTCGGCTTTTCGAGACGTTCGCCACTCGGCAGACGAATCGGAGCGCGAACAGAAAGGATACCGAGACAATATTATTTGGGAAAAATGGGATAAACTCTTATCAGCATTGTGCACTGATAAAAAAATGTCCTAATAAAAAAAATATGTTACTTAAGAAAATTATTCATTAGGTGGCTCCTAATAGCTTATTAACTCAAATGAAAAAAATAAACAAATGAAAACATGCATTGCTTTAATTTAAGTATTTATTAAATATCAAAGAATAGATAAATTTGAATTAAAATTTTCTTTCAATTCTATAAAATGTTTACTAAGATGTAATTTTCACCGCGAAGAAAAATTGGATTTCTTATTTGACAAAAACGGCGATTTTATTTAATAAATAGTCTTCTATATCTCACGAAATCTTATATCTGAATGTAGAAAATGTAACGATTTAAATTAATTCACTTAATATAATACATAGACTTACTGGAAATTTGATATTTTTATTTAAAATAGAATAAATATTTACTTCAGTAACAAGAAATAATTTTAAGTAAGTCTATTTACTTGGTTTACAAAAATGTTCTTGTCAGTGTACGAACATCTCAGTAGAATGTGCCACTTTGCCCTGGGGAAGGAGCCGCTTAAAATAAGTTTTCATTAAAGACATGATTTTTAAACGGTTCGGTTTTATGTCAAAGCAAAGATCCGGCGTTGACACAGTCTCGACCAAAGTGTCGCGTGGCTCCTTTCTGTTCTCGCTTAAACGGAGACGCTCCTCGATTTCTTAACATTAAATTCCTGTTACGCACGGACGTTTTCCAGAAAAGCGCGGGTGACGTCCATCCACGTGGATTTTATCGCGGCGCGCAACTCCCCTTCAAAGAGTGGGTTTGACATTTTTTTTCTCTAATCCAAGTCGCGTACTCGTACGCATTTGCATACAAACGACACGTACGTGCGCGTCTGCGACCCGAAGACACGCGTGTACCGGGATTGTTTTCGAGGAAGTCTCGATTGAACTATCCTCAAGGTTGCGAGGACGG